AAGAGGATGACAGATTAATTAAACTATACATAGTAAAATACTAGGATGTTCAAATTATTTTTTAAACAATCTTTGTAATCTTCGATTTGTTTTAGAGCAATATAATTTCTTTTAACTAACAGCTGGTTAAAATATAAACTATGGAACTATGAGGTTATTTTATTTACTCTTATTTTGTCATTGATTATAGGAAATAAGTAAGATTAGAAGAGATAATTAGACCACAGTTTAAAATAGTTTAGACCTAAATTAATTAAACCATACTACAAATCGAGGCTCTGTACACGAGTCTTAATGAAAAAGGATAAATGCAAATGATTTTACTGCTCCACTTTTCAAGGAAAGAATAGAAAAATAACAATGTTTACATGTTTTAATTCTTCATGGTAGCTTTTTGTTTACAATTAATGTTTGTCTGCTTTAACTTTGTTTGGATTAGGCCCGGAAATATTGATGTCATAAAAAGAAGATCAAGAATAATCAGGAATCACGATTTTAAATTAGAACCACAACCTCAGCCGGGTTTTATACAAAGATAAACAGATGGATGACAGATTGAACACAACGTCAACATTGACCTAGGATACTGCAAATAGACAAACCATCCTTTTATGAAATCGAAATCGTGTTCAGTTGTGGTTACGTTTGGGGGTGCCTATATCAGCGCCCCCAAACTTGCGATGTACATTTATTCAATGAGGGTGGGTAATTATTAAGGATAGAACTGATAACGGTATGGATAATAAGCATTGACAATTACGTCATTAGCTTTACTAACGTGTTTACTTTTTATATTCCTGCTACATGTGACCAGTTCTTTTTTTCAAATGAATGTTATTTGATCCAAACAGCTGTTTCAAAACAAACTGTTATTGTTTTTACTTTTCTTTGTTTACCCTTATTTATTTAGCAATTAATGCAGTGAAATTTATATAAAGGATAGGTGTGACGATTAGTTTTGATGTTAGGACACCAAAGTTAAATTATGTGTACTGTGAATTTTATTGGATATTATCGTTTTATTTTAGGTCGTTTCTATTCAGACCTACTGGAAATTGTGTATAGTAGTTGTATTGTGGTGATAATAATTATGGAAGAGGCAGGTATGCTATGGAAGGTGGTATCATTGACTAGGTCTATACACTTCTCAATTGACTATTATTTGTATTAATAGTCAAAGGTACTCTCTCTACTGTAGGCTACTTATAATCAGTGTGCGTCTGTGCGAATCGGCTGCAAATCTCACTTCAACGCTTTTCACATCGTAAAAATTGCAGAATTGCTGTTTTATTGTAAAATTATCGGATTAAAAATGCATATCGTATAGGCCTATGATGGAATAAAAACATATTTGGTCACACAACATTTGTTTACAAGATGACTTTTCACATTAAAACTGAAAGAAACTTTGCCTTTTTTATGTGTAAACTAGCTGACCTGAATTGTACACGGTTTTAACTGACTACTGAATTCCCGTACGTAGGACGGGCTAACAGCTCGTCTATATATTAATTTGAAACTGTTTTTCTTTGTCACAGCTATTTTGAGAGAACGGCTGGGCGTAGAAACTCGGTAGTGGTGTCTAAATAAAGGTCTTGGGCTGTATATGAGCCATCAAAAGAGAAACATGGTGAATTCCCTTGGGGCTCTGCCCCCGTGGCCTTTAAATTCCCATCCCATGTTATTCTTATGGCGGAAAACGGGGTTTTTGTCACAGCTAATTTGAAAGAACAGCTGGGCGTAGAAACTTGGTAGGGGTCTCTAAAGAAAGGTCTTGGTTTGTAGATGAGCCATCAAAAGAGGAAAGAGGTAAATACCCTTGGGGCTCTGCCCCAGAAGTCTTTAAAGTTGCCTCTTCAGATTTGTTTACATTACGACCATATGCATAATTCTACACTACTTTCTAATGCAACAGCTGTTAATATTTAAATTGTGATTTATTGAATTTGTCAAAATGAAGTACAGTATTTGCAATGGATTTTTCTGATTTTAAAATTGATTTTCTTCTGCATCGTGTCATGTTTTGCAATATAATGTTCTATTACCAAATCAGTGGAAAATCCTAATATCACAGTAATTTTTGAAATTATTTCTTATGGAGTTAACTTATATCTATTGTATTGGTTGGTTTCTGCCGTTTTTACCACTTCTTGGAGATTGTACGTAGGTGATATTCTTTGGCATATTGCATCCGTAGACGAAACTTGGGTTGGTGTAATTATTACAATGGAAAAGAGCGAGAAATCCTGGTCAATTTGATATAGGCTAAAAATAAAACTGAATTAACACTGTGCTAAATTTCTTGAGCAATCATTGAAATAACCGATTTGCAAACAATGGAAACATAGAAAAAGTCATAGAACACAACTAAGTAGAAGAAATAGAAATAATGTTTTTTTTTACACTAAAAACACTAAAAAAACAAGATCAACTTTTTGAAAAAAGATAAGATATTTACAAAAGATTTTGATTATATCTAACTGTTGTGTAGATCGTGAGTATTTCCATAATCTTTGAGTCGCCTGTAATGCTTTGCAATTGCTCGAATTCGAGCAACAGGTACACTAGTCTAGTTTGAATTTAAATTCAACATTTAATATTACTGTACCCATTTCATTGAAGATTGTTTACTCAATATGGGAAAAGACTCTAGTAAGTAATTGTATATGTAAAAATTAGTCTGTTACAAATTTATTCGACCCATAAAAATGTCAATGTTTTGGATGATCCGACAACGTCCGAGTCCACAAATAGTGGAGTTTTGAGATTTTACTGTACCTGTACAGACTAATTAATATCTATATACAAACAAATTTAAATTTTATTATCACTACATGAATACCCCAAGGAAAAAAATGACTGGAGTAAAAGCTAAAGTCAATTGCTATATCAAAGGTTGTGATACACTTTGTGTAAATACAAAACCCCCACCAAGTACTTTTATACAATCTGTTGTGAACTTCATAAATTTTTTGTTCGATACATCTACTATAATTTACTTAATCATTTATCTGATTACTGTATTTCAAATTTCAAAATACAAATTTTGACTATTGAGTGAAATATTCACGAGACCTACATTTGTTATCCAAAATTCGAAAATACAACTTAACTGTTAATAAGTGAAAAGCATTTTGAACAGAATTAAAATCACGGAGGGGACGGGTGAGAGCAGAAACATACGTAATGTTAATGTACAACTCAATGGGTAATAAATTAGTGACTAATAAACAACAATTAGTAATAATTGGGCGGAAGATGTAAAAAAATAATAGCATAATTTGTACATAAAAGCTATATATTATTAAAACTAAATCAGAATAGTAGTATAGTCCTCGAAAGTTCACCTATTGAGAAATAAAACAGTCTAATGGAATGGTTTTAATACGGTTAGCAGAATTCCTTAAAGAGGCTGAAATACGAAATACACTATTAACCTAATTAATCAACCAGAAGCGGAAATTTAAATCGGTTTTGTAACACAGTGTTTAATAGAAAGCCGCAGGTAATATTGTGGAATGTATTTCACTGGAGCCATTCATTATGCATTCTCCGCTAGACAATATTTGCATAACAGGAAGATTTCTGGGAATCCAGCCAACAGCCGCAGCTCACAACGACGGAACGATTAACTGAAATAGGATACCTAAATGCAATTGATTACCTGATATAATATTGACATAATATTGGAATGGACCAAACTAACGTAGTTAATAGTGTGACATAATATCAATATGAGGTAATCACTTTAGGGACTAACAACTTTAGACGTATTATTAGCACGAGGTGTCCTCATTTATGCAATATTGTAATCTACACTTCTGATTTTTAATCACGCAATTCCTTTTGAACGACTAGAGCTAAAATTTTACACGTAGGTAAGCATTATTTATTTCAGTCCCTTGTTATAACAGTTCAGACGACGTTACAAAAACAATAGGATATTCTCAGTAATCTATTACCAAGGCACTACCACATTACAGTAACGTATTTGCGTTTTTATTAAGCCATGGCCTTGCGCCTAAAGTCAAATTTTCATTGGATGGTTGTATCATGAATAGACCAATTACAGTTACAGCATCTAGGTCCTCAATCGACCCTCTTGTAATGGAACCAGTTAACTTTAGGTTTGAAGATGATCACTACATATAACCACTAGGCACTAGGCGATGGTGGGGATATGTAAGTCAAACAGATAAGTTGTAAAAATAATATTTTTAAATTAATCTTCTAGGTACAACAATGATTGTATAATCTACATTTTACGTTTTATAATCAATGGTGATACTGAACTGTCTTTGTACAGTAGTAGCGCCATACATATTTTTCATCACTCTCGAAAATAGCCCATTTCCACGGAGCTGAGATCTTCAAAAATTTTCAATTTCCATACACCAAAAACAAATAGTGATCAGCTGACTTTTCCTGGCATAAACATTACTTTTGTTACGTAAACATTACTTTCGCTACACATACAACACTTTTCCTGCAATCAACAAAGTTACAACTAAAGTTTTTTTTTATTTTTTTTAAAGTTTGATGAAGTAGTTTTTTTATCGTGATGAAAAGTATCGTTCAATACTCGTCAAGAAAGCCCCATTTCGGGGCGAAATAGTGTTTTACATGCAAGTCTTAGTAGTGAAATATAATATTTCGCCCATATATTCCTTGTAATGCACGTTAAAAAGGTATGAAAAGCTATTCATAATGTTATATGTTTTTAAGAAAAGACACTATTCCATTCAAGTAGATCTTTATACAGTTTGTTGAGTTACGACTTAATTTATGAACTAATAGTAGGAATGATTGACATGGAATAGTAATTTCATAGATGATAGTTTTCGTAAGTATTATACAATATACTTATTATATAAGAGATTCAATAATGATAGCCAATTTTTTGCTACACGTTGCAAGAACACGTAATTAGAAGATAACTGTTTACACTTTTTAACTATGGTATAAATTCTTGTAGTTTAAATAAAAATAATATAACTTACGTCACTACGATCCCCACATTGTCGTGGCAGCTTGCTGAAACAAACCCGTGTCATTAGAATATAGCACAAAGCAAAACCAGCAAATAATAACAAGTATAGGTTTTGAGAGGATTTCACAGTGAGACTGCTAAGATTACATAGACAAATCGAAAAGTAGAAAATAAGACTAGGACATTGCTACGCACCTAGTATACGGCCATGAGGTTGGTTGGAATCAAGCACAATAGAAAATTGATTTAATAGTTTGCCCTCTAACCAACGAGCACATCTAACCAAGTGAATTTGTGTTTTGAGTATAGGTATTTCAATAATAAGCTAAACTCCTTGAGTATTAATTAATAGTTTAAAAAAATGAACCAATTGACCAGACCATACAATTTGGTCTTTTTTAGTAGGTTGATTTAATTCTCTATGACCATCAAATTTTAGCAGGGGTTAAATTTTTTTTGTTCTCAATTTTGAGTTCGGATAATTTTCAGCTAACTAATTGATTAAGACTAATTGTCAAATAGTTTACTTACTTTGATACCTAGTACAACTACTTGATACCAAGCGGAATTTAGTTATTCTAACAGATTAAGGGGAAATGTATTAATACTCTCAATTCACGATGGATGTCGAAAGTTGTAAATTCAATCAGGGTTCGGCTTACCACCAAAGACAGGCTTAGTTGCCTCATTAGCAGGTTGTGTCAAAAGCAGCAAAGTTAACTTAATTGACGTTAACAAGTTGGTTCCCGCTTATGCATCGAAACTTAACCACTGGAATGAACATTCACATTAGTTTGATGGCTTTTCACATTTTACTAGTAATAGTAATAAATTAAATCTAGGTGATTGATGATATTTTTTGAATGGAACATTTTGGCACCAATCTTTTTAGTTGTTTATATTTATAAAAAGTTGAAATTTCCTCGATAATTTGTCTGTTAGTAGCAGGAGCTATCCATTACAGAGGAAGTGGAGAGTTATCCTTATTTTTTGTTTTTCTAGCTTTAAGTACTGAGTCACGAAAATCTCACATGTTTAGAAAAATCCATTGGTGATCATTAGGATTTGAATAAGTGTTCATATATATATATATATATATATATATATATATATATATATATATATATATACCTACCTATATTATATAATCTTTATATATGTTCCTTTAAATATGCTGAGCTAAACAAAACTCAATAATGTATAATTATTGTTACAAAATATAAATTTCGTAATTTAGTAAGTATGACGAAACAGCATAATGACATTCACCTATTGCGTCTGATGATGATGCGACTGCCTAATCGAAATCGATTGTCCATTAAAGAATATAAAGACGTGAACGAAAGTTTTTGAACACCTGCTAATATTTCGTATCTGCTAATATTAAACACCTCAGTACGGATAAACATCGCCACTTAAGGACTATTGGCGCGCAAACTACAGCCTTGACGAGACCTCTCTCCGTAGATGAGATGTGGCAAATGTAGCAGTCATCCTTGTAGTGACATTGAGGATCTGGGGATCTGCTTTCCTCAGTGACAGCAGACAGCAGACAGCACCCGCGCCGTGAAAGGAAACAAGGACACGACATGACGACCGTCGGCTGCAGTAGGTCAGTGGGGCCCTGCGATACAGCGATACAGCCTCCCCTGTTGTTCTTGCCAGTCAGAACATGGGATGGACAGTAATCGTAATAAAGGCAGGAAGATAATTAATCTACCAGCTCAAACGAACGATTTTTCAGCTAGGAAAGATTAGATTCGGTTTTTACGACGCAGATATGCCAGGATGCGTAATTTTAGGCGATGAATGAGTGAACGACGATTGTTGAATAACTAAGATTAGACATCATCCCCATGTTAAATTTGTAGCCATTTTTTTTTTTTTACTAAAATCGCCGTAGTTGATGTGAGCCACCAACAGATTGTGCTGATCTAAATTACTGATTTATGTTGAATACAACATCTTTTTTAACCATTTCAAACTACACTAATGGTTAAGCTGTGAGCTATAGCAACTGTTATTACCCATCAACTTGGCCAGCAACAAAAAATATGGTAGAAAATAGAGTTTTAGTCACTAGTGCATTCTGTGACTGGCTCACGACACAACTACGTTCTTATTTTAACAAAAAAATGGCTACAGCTGGTCCATAGAGATGGGACGTCTAGATACTGTCTCAGTTCAAGTGCTTTGTGTGTTTTGTTTAACCAAGATCAATGAATTTTCTAAGGATCGAAACGAAAATCATCTGATTGGCGAACACTGTATCCACTCCGGTGCTGTCTGCCGACCCGAACCCCCCATACAGCCTAGGCGGCTGTAGTTACACTAATCAATACGAACTGGACCGCATCTATATTTTTCAAGGAATGTCTATTAATCAATGAGCACGTACTGAATATGAATGTATAATCGAGTAAGATCTCTGTAGCCTTGTTACCAACTAAAATCTGCTGTTTATTTAACCAGAGCCATTCATCCCCAAAAATCAAGGATACCTGGGCCCATTTTCGGACCATCAACAAGCTATGTACTGACATTTATCGGGGCCGAGCCGGCGTCCTTTCAATAATGAATTATCAGACGAGTACCATAACCACTCCGCTACCCAGCTGACCATTATGCTCTGATGGGTTCCTAGTTTCTGCAGTTTCCCCAACCACGTGACGTAACTGGCACAACAAGCCCGCTGTGAGAATCTGGCTAAACAATAACTATTGCCGTATAGCTGCCATTATGACGTGAAGGCTGAGAAACTGTTAGTTAATGCCTTCCTACAATGCAGTTCTAAAGAGGGGGATCAGGCAGAAAACATCATATTGCACGTCTCATTATATATGGTTTTAATTGAGTTGAAAATGGTTCAAAAGACATAGTGTTGTGTAATAACTTTTAACTACAGTACTATGTTTTTATGTCAATAAACGCGTTCCTCCGATAATCCGACCTCTTTGCTGCTTCGACCATGCTCCCGGTCCTGTAGGTGACGGATTAGTTACTACTGTATAACGAAGCCGTTATGGAGGGTAGAACACGGAACTTCTGGCATATATCTGGTAAAAAATCCTCAAACGACTGGAGACCACTTATGTAAAACAAAATTTACAACAAACAATGGAATTTTGTACATTATAATTGCCTTTGAAATCTACAGAAATGTCGTCTAGTAAATATATTTGTATCCAATGTATATGTTATACATAAAGAACCATGAAATAAATACACGAACTGCAAGGTTAGGTTTTACTAATCATTCTTATTTCATTTGTTTCTATCAGTTGTTAGGCGGTGTGAAATATAAAGCAGTTGAAAAGTGTAAACAAAGTAAATTAATGCAAGTAGCTTTGACAATAAAGTTAATGGTTTTACCTAAACATTTAGTCGCAAAGGGAAAAAATCAATATGCATTACCAAAAGCTACACTACAGAACTTTGAATGTATCGATTGAAGCTCTAAGTCAAAGATGCAAGCAATAAGTAAGACAATGGGGCTCCTGGTACAGTAATTATATATGTGTAAAATTGTATCATAGTTGGTCCAATGGCTTTTGGGTGATAAAAATATTAAATATAGATACCTCATTTATAGTACATTAATTGTAAACAATAAATTTAGATTTTCTAGCTCAAGTGTCCGCCCAGAAATCGATATTTCGCTCTGCGTGCATTTTAACATGTTTTATGACCACAAACACTATAATCGTCTATTTTCCTTCTGTATACAATTTATATATTCCTCTAGAGAAGCTATATTACCACAAAAGACAAACACAACACATGATTACAATATAACTCACACTCAAAGAGAACCACATACAATTCAAATAGAATTCCAATCAAGGTACGACACTGTAGGAAACCTCACAAGTAATTGAAGCCCGACGTAATTCAATTATCAAACCAAACCCGACGAGTCAGTGACACTCTCGGTAAAGGGGGGGGGAGGGGTAGTGGGGGGGGGGGGGTTGTCACCTGTAACTGATAGGGGAGTTAATGAGAGCGAGAGAGACGAAGAACAATGGAGTCCTTCACCTTGGAACAAAGCAGGTCACCCGGTCAATGGGAAGGAGCTTTTTGTTGATTATATCGCGAAAGATGATTATTTTTCAGTAACAGATTCCTTTACATTAAAATATAGTACGATAAGGTTGTAGCTTGTCATTAAATTTTAACAATTAAAAACCGTACTAGAATTGTGTACCTTTTTACCATCATGCAAATTATGTACCCCTTCCCTCAACATTTGTATTTGCATTTTTTCATTACATCTCGGGGTTAAGGTCCACGCTAAAACACAAATTGTCTATTTTACCGAGTATTTTTTTTTAATAATTATACTATTTTTGTATTTCTTTTTTTGTACTATGAAGTGAACGTTTTGTGCCACCTGTATTAATGAGGAATAGCCATTTTAAAGTCGGGGTACAAGTCTACCCCCAAAACTCCTAAAAACACTAATAGATATTTTTGTCCTACTAAAAAAAAAGAATCTAGAACCAGAACCGTTGTGTTGGAGTACTAATCTTGTACCTTGTTGGAGGACTAAAATAAATAACCAATAATTATCAGTCAGCTTTACCAAGTTTGGATATTATAAAAGAAAAAGAACAGAGACTATCTTTAATCTTATTAATTTATCTGATATTTCAAACTATACCACAGAATCAAGAGAGTATACTTATAAAAAGTTATTAGTTATTGAAAAAAACTCAAGAGAATGTTCAATATCTTATGGTAAAGGTTATTTGGTTTATAGTACCACTAAAGATTCATACTTTTCAGTTTCCTATTTTATGGTATGAAAAGTTTGAACTATTTTGGTAATACTCAATTATGTAATAATATGTGGTAAATATGTTTGTATTGGTAAACACCAACGGTGGGTTTAAGTTAGTTTTTACGATTTTCAATATGGTATTTATATGACTTTCTAGTCAAACTAAAAATTAGAATAAATTCAAATATACTCTTTCATAATGTTTATTAACATTTTATTGACTAACTTTCATGCGACTAAGTCATATCTAATTTAAAAAAATAC